TGCAAATAGCACGCCACTCGCATTGTTCCGGGTTAGGTTTTGTCACTGAAAACTATGCCTTGGCGATCATTCCGTAACTGTATAAATAGGTGCCGGTATTACTAACACAGACACATTCAGAGTAGCTACAGAATAACCCTCTGTGGTCACCGTGGAATGCTGGGAGCCCTTGGCTGGGAGTGCCTTGGGCGGTGTAATCCCCCATCAGAGCAGGGACACAGTAGGTGCTCAAGAAGCCATTGGTTTCCAGCAGTTTTTCCTCACCCACTACTCTGTGCATCCTCTATCCCACGGGCCCTAGGGTGGAGCTGAAGGACCACTGGAACTTAGAACCCCCTCCAGAGGAAATGGCAGTTCAGAGAGGTTGAGTGAGCCGCCCAAGGTTGCACAGGTTGTTGGATGCAGAGTGAGGACAAAAGCCCAGGCCCAGCTCCCAGGCCGAGGGAAGCGGGGTCAGGACGCCTCCCACCAGAAGCTCCGGCTCAATCTGAGTTCCCAGAGCGAACAGAGATGGTAACGCTGAGCACCCCGGGCTAAAAGGGGAGTTTTGAACTGGCTTCGGGAACCCAGGGAAAATGAGCTCGAAGAGGAGGGATTCCAGGCGGAGCCAGCTCTGTCCTTAGCCCTGTATCAGCATCACCTGGAGGCTTTGTTAAGCCACAAGCCTGCGGCCCACCCGCCGGGAATACCTGATTTGGTAGTTTGGGGCCTGTGACGTGCGTTCCACTTCTAACAAGTTTCAGGTGCTGCCTGCCAGGCCGCTGCTGGTCTGAGACCACCCTTTGAGAGCCGCTGGCCTAAGCAAAGGCAGAGGAGCAGGAACGAAGGACTAGCGATGAGGCAGACGAGGCGAGCTGCTTTGCAAAGGGTGCTTGTAGGGAAGCTGGCAAGACTGTTGGGAGAGCAGGAGGTTGGGGGACAGTCCCGCCGCAGGCACCGTCTGGAGGGCTCCGGCACTGCGTTCGTGCACAACGGGAGCCACTCTAAGCTCTGAGGCAGATGAACGGTGGTTAAAACGAGGAAGGTGAACTGGGCAGTGGGCGCAGGTCACACTGGGGCCGCCCTCCTCACTTGGTTGCACATCCGAACTGCCAGGAGAGCTCTAAAACTCAGGCACACAGATGCCCACGGCCACCGTGTCAGAATCTTCGGGGTGGGGCCTAGGAAGCTGCATTTTTTCCCACGCTTCCTGGGGAGCCGTGCTGCACGGCCAAGGTTGGAGGAGACAACAGCAGGGGCAGGCCGGGGCTTGGTGGCGCTCATAGAGATCCATGGGGGCGAACAGGGGAGAGGCGGAGAGGCAGTGCTCCATCCGACCAGCCATCAAGGTCAGCTGGGGATCTTTCAAATAGCCCCATGCCTAGGCCACACCCCGGAGCAAGCAAATCAGACGTGGGTGGGCTGGGGGGACCAGACCTCAGGACCTTGGAACGCTCTCCACCTTATCCATTTGAGTGTGCATCCAAGAGTGGGAAATACCGGGGCACAGCAGTGGTTCTGCGAGTGTGGCACAGGGACCGGTGGCTGAGCGTTACCTAAAACCTTGTCAGAAATGCACATTTCGGGCCTCACCCAGATCCACCCATCGAAAACTCCAGGGGCGGGGCCCAGCACTGTGGAGCCAGCCCACCGGGTGTTCTGATGGGAGTTTGAGAACCAAGGGGTGGAGCGAGGCAAGGCGGGAGCGATTCTGAGAACGGGGAAGAAAAGGGATCATCGAGCTGTGCTGAATGGGCAGCTGGAGAGAGAAAACCGAGCGCATCCCTCACGGGGTGCGTGGGTGGGGGCTGGAGCGGCCACCGCGGTGCAAGGGCGGAGGACCAGCCTGCGGCACTGAGGAGGTGCCTGGTGAGGCGGGTGCTGAGCTCAGGGTGGATTCGGCCTGCATCCCTGGCGGGGCAGGAGCACCGGCCCCTCAGGCCAGGTTTCTGGGTCTCAACTAAAATCTCCTAGATTTGCCACCAGGGGCTGGAAGTTCACTCAGGCCTGCGGCCGCGGTGGTCAGGACCCCATATATGGCTGTCCCGAGAGCCCAGGGCAACCTTCTCGCTAAGTGCCATCAGATGCTCAGCCTGCCCCATTCGGAATCTGCCCAGAAGGCCATGTCCTGTTGGGACTCTTGGCTTATGACCGTCAGCCCCTCGGGGTGGGACACGCGTGTGATATTCACCCAGTTCACGAAAGCGGTGCACAACCCTTGTTAACGGCAGCCCTCCGGACAGACAGCTTCTGTTTATCAAGCCCCAACTGTGTGCTTCTTGTGACCTAACTGGGCTCTTCACGGACATCAGCGTCCATCCACCCCTTTCATGGAGAAGGAAAGCGAGGTCGGGGCGGGCAACTTATTCAGGCCTCCGAGCTGCCAGGGAAGGATTTGAAGTTGGGTCTGTTCTGTCTTCGGCAGCCTGAGCTCTCAACCACCGGCTCTGGAGAGCCCCCTCCCACTGCGGAAGTTGTTCCCCATGCAAGCAAAGAACCGGCCCCGGGAGGACTTCGGTGGTCCTCCGGTTGCGGGGGTGAGGCCCCGGGGGAAGTTCTCCTCTGCCAAGGTCAGGGGGCCCAGGCTGGTGGAGGGGTGCCAGCCTGCCCCCTCACTCGCTGCCAGGCCCAACGGAGGGCTGTTCACTGGGGCTGGGAGGGAGAGAGC